GGATCCAGGTGCAGCAGGTTGGGGATGGGTGGGGGGGCTCTGGGTGTGGGTGGCTCGTCAGGGTGGTCCAGGTACAGGGGGAGTGGGACTCGTCGGGGAGGGGGTCTGGGTGCAGTGGGGGGAATGAGGCTTGGTGGGAGGGTCTGGGTATGAGGGTGTCTGGATGCACAGGGGTTGGATGGAGGGTGGGAGCAGCTCCCTGTACAGAGATTGCTTCCCGCCCCCTGCAGCTGAGGAGTGATGGGTGAAGGAAGAGCAGGGATGAGGGGGGAGTTTTAAGAGCTTCCTACAGCTAGGGGGAGAAATCTGAGGGGGTGTCTGACCTGGCCCCGGATGCCGGGCAGGGGAAGAGGAAAACCTGTCCTCCCCAGCCCAGCCGGGACTAGCAGCTGAGCCCGGCGCAGGGTAAGAGCCACTAGCCGTGTCTTCCCCAGTCCCGCCCATGCTACACAGTGATTTACCTCTCTGCTGGCTGCCCTGGGCACCCAAAACATATTTCTGGGGAGAGTCGCATGCAGAGGTGAAAGTAAGCCAGTCCGGTCCGGAACAGCGTACCAGCAAGAACCAGTATGCCGTGCCGGACTGGACTGGCTTCCGCAGCGGTGATTTAAAGGGCCCAGGGCTCCAGCCGCTGCGGGGAGTCCCGGGCCCTTTAAAGCGCCACCGGAGCTCCGGCAGCTGGGCTCGGGTGTGGATTTAAAGGGCCCGGTGCTCTGGCTGCTGTGGGGAGCCCAGGCCCCTTAAATCACAGCCGGAGCTCTGGCAGCCGGGCTTGGGCGGGGATTTAAAGGGCCCGGTGCTCCGGCCACTGCGGGGATCCCTGGGCCCTTTAAAGCACCGCCGGAGCTCCGGCAGCCGGGCTTCCGCAGTGATTTAAAGGGCCTGGAGCGCCGCAGTGGCCAGAGCCCCGGGCCCTTTAATTCGCCCCAGGGCTCCCAGCCGCCTCTGCAGCTGCTAGCTCCGGGGTGATTTAAAGACCCTTGGGCTCCCAGCCATAGCCGGAGCCCCAGGGCCTTTAAATCTTGAAAGGCCCTGCCTCTTCCGGTTGAGGCCACACTCCCGCTCAGGACTCCGGCGTACCGGTAAGTCCTTTAAGTTACTTTCACCCCTGGTCGCATGACTGCTTTTGTGGCTTCCCTTTGCTTCCCCATCAGAAAATCATTTTTCTGCGAGGAACATAAATTCTGCGCATGCGAAGTGGCACAGAATCCCCCCAGGAGTAATAAGTTAGAGACATGTAGGGGCTAATCTAGTTCACACCAACTGGCTAAGGTCTGTTTAGCAGCTTTCACCCCATGGGAACTGGTGTAGTGCAGGCATGGCCTCCTCCACACCCTTTGCCCATGTGTGTGCGCGCATTGGGGCAGTTGGTATAGAAGCCAACTACACCACTTTATGCCAGCTGAGAGCTCTCCTACATGGGAAGAATTGTCAGCTAGCCAGACAGGGCCAGATTCTGCCGCTGTCTGAGTGGCACAAAGTGGGTGGAACAGGAGAAGCAACTTCACTTAATGATGTCAAACTACTGCTGTGAGTCTAATATTTCTTGGGCATGTTATTCTTAGTGTTTCTTAGCAGGTAGCGAAAATCCAATTAGAAAAGTGTGAATGAGGAACCTGGCCACAAACGTAGACCCTGACAACACAAAGTGTTAGCCCCAATATAAGGGACAGTCTTACATTGCCATCTAGTGTGCAACAGGAGCAGTTCTGTTTCAGAGAAGCAGGAGTCTTTCTTTTGTTAATGTACTCATTAAGAGCCTGATTCTGCTCACTGAGGCCAATGACCATTTCTGTTGATTTTAATGGAAGTGGGAATAGGCCCTGCCTCTTGATATAAACACAGAGGGCTTAATCCTCACTTGGAGTATATTGATTTAGCTCCACCAAAGTCAATGGGGCTATGCTGATTATTTACACCAGTTGAGAATCTGGACTAGCCTGTGAAAGGTGTATATGATTACACAGTGCTGGGCAGTTAGAGGATTAAACAATTTCTAGAGGAAGAAGAAAGAATCCTTGCACTGCCCCATCCTAGCCCAAACTCTATTTGCAATTACAACAACGTAAATTCAGAGTAAATCCATTTAAATCAATAGACTTACTCCAAATTTACACCACTACAGAAAAGCTCTCCACACCCTTGACAAGCTGTGAAAAATATTTTGCATAAAATAAACAGACTCTAGTAATTAATTACCCTCAGATAATAATGTAATAACTAACCTTTCATTAATAAAGTTCCTGTTGCATTCAGCACACTCAGTGGAAAAAAATGATTCAGGGTGCTTTTAGGACCTCTGCTTCTTTTTTCAGAAATGTGGTGGTTCTCATACATTGTAACTTCGGTCACTGGCATTTCTTGTACCAAGTGAAAGCTTCTTTATACCTTATTACTCTAGGGATAACCAGGAAAAGGGCAGTATTTCATATTGGGGGGGGGAGTTATGCATGCGTAAAGTGGAATTGATTTTTCTGGATCAACAATGAGCATTAAGATATCATCCACTTACTGTAGAAGGTTATATTGTAACATTTTATTCAAAAGACACAATACATTTAAAATATCAGGGGGTGGTCGTGTTAGTCTGTATCCACAAAAACAACAAGGAGTCCGATGGCACCTTAAAGACTAACAGATTTATTTGGGCATAAGTTTTTGTGGGTAAAAAACCCCACTTCAGATGTATGGAGTGAAAATTACAGATGCAGGCATTATTATACTGACACATGAAGAGAAGGGAGTTAACTCACAAGTGGAGAACCAGTGTTGATGGGGCCAGCAGGGTGGATGTAGTCCACTCCCCATAATTGATGAGGAGGTGTCAATTCCAGGAGAGGCAAAGTTGCTTTTGTAGTGAATTTCATGGACTTTGCTAATAAAGAAAGCAAGGAAAACTGTGGCTATGCTGACCATGTTGGAGTTCATTTTACAACAGGTGAATGATTTAAAACACTTCTTGGAGTATGTGGTTTTAAAGCAGCATCATTCAAACTGCAGCCCCAGAGCCAAATGCAGCTTGTTGTGTCACAACATTTCAGCACTTGTTAAAAACTGCTTATCATGTGCTGCCATCATGTGGCCATTTCATTCATTCAATGCCACAGATGTATTTCCCTTCTTTTAGCATGGCTTCCATTAGTCCATTGGTTCTCAAACTTTTGTACTGGTGACCCCTTTCAAATAGAAAGCCTCTGAGTGCGACCCCCCGTATAAATTAAAAACACGTTTTTATATATTTAACACCATTATAAATGCTGGATGTAAAGCGGGGTTTGGGGTGGAGGCTGACAGCTTGTGACCCCCATATAATAACCTTGCCGACCCCCGTTTGAGAACCCCTGCATTAGTCTAATCTCTTCCATATTGTGATCCAATGACATGGTATATGGAAAAAGTTTAAGGACCTCCTCCCATGTCACCATAAAGAAAGGAAATTGTTTCAGGACTTCCCTCCTCACTAGCATGAAGACAGAGTGGTGGCAACCCACCTGTCCATGCTCTGCATGAGGGTCACGACCCCTAGGTTGAGAATCTGTACATTAGTCCCGTATTTGTATTTGCAGAGCTTTGAGGTCCTGATCCAAAGCTCACTGAATTTGATGAGTCTTTCTATTGATTTCAGTTGACTTTGGCTCAGATCCTGAGTGAGGGCAACACACAGAACAATGATTAGGAAATTCCTGAGATGGTCTCAATGTACAGCTCCCCTGAAGGAGAACAATGTAGTATGCAGAACAATGACTTTGGGGCAGACAGGGCCACGTTGCCCGGTCTCTAGACACTTTTACTGGTGTATGCTCAAAATGGTGTATGGCCCGTCACTAAAGCAGCTGTGTTGTCCTGGTACTGATTAGGCTGTCTCATGTGCAAATTAAAACCACTGGTAATGGTGCAAAATACCATCACAGCTGCTCTTTGTTGTTTTTACAAACCAGAATACACAATAGCCCTCATTAATGCTTCAGAGTACAGACTCTTCTGTCTGAAATACATGCATCATTTCATCCCTCACAACAGATAAGCAGCTTGGGCCATAGTGTATCTCCCACACTCCCGGAACTTATTAAAGGAACAGTCTCCCAATTCCTCTTTCCCCAGTTTTCTCTCTTCCTTATCTCCATGAAGAGAATGAAAATGACAATTTTGTCTTCCTGCTTTTCTCCTTCAACATGTTATCTAGCAAACACTGGCCTGCAGCTTGAGATTTTCTCCGATTTTACAAGCTAAACTTGTATTCCCCAAAGAGCTAATGATCTGTTTGACAGCACAGGGATATTAACTCCAGTGGTCTGGCCAAATTATAATCTTGAGTAATTGTATTCAACCCAACTAAAAATTCCTCCTGTATTTCAATTAGATATGCTTTTCTCCTCCTCCTGTCCTGAACTGCTGCCTCCCCACCACTGATTTGGTGCCCCCTCCCTTTTGTCATTGCAAATCACTGGCATCAGAATCAATGAATCGGGAAGGGAAGAGGAATTCCCCCATCTTTTTACATCTCCCGCCTGAATCAGTCTCGGGCCGTGGGCCCAGGCGGTTCGTGCGGTGCACAGATCAGGGCTAGGACAGGCCAGAGCCACCTTGCACAGGTGACCCAGGCAGGGCCAGGGGGACTAATGGGGTTTACAATGGAGAGGCCTAGGGGGAAGCCATATGGCAGCCAGCCATGGAGCAGAGCATCACCTGCCAGGCCCTGGTACATAGTGCAACCGCCCCCTGCCTCTGGGGCTCAGTTGCTGCGGGCCCGCGCCAACCAGAGCCACGCCCCGGGAAACTGCGCCCCGCCCCCAACCAAACACCCAATCAGGAGAGGGTCTAGTCAGAGTCGCGTGCGCAGAAGACCCTGCTGTGACCTCCAACCAGGACAGAGAACGGAGGCGCACGGGCCCCAATTGGCGACCCAGAAACCAGCCCTCTCGGACTGCGCACGCGCAGTGAGAACAGTCGCTGCGCGGGAGGAGGGGCTGACGCACGACGCACGTAGAGGCGGGCGGTGACCTACGTGCGCGGGGTCGCGAGGGGGTGCCCCTTGTGAGGTGGTGCGGGCCGATGGGGCCGGCCGAGCCGAGTGGGGGCGAGCGCGGGGCCGCCTGAGCCCCGCCGGCCGGGGCGACGCTATGCGGCGCGGCGAGAGGAGAAGCCACGGCGGGGCGCTGAGCAAGGCCGCGCTGGAGGAGCAGCCCGACGGCGGGGTGATGGAGGCGCCCCCGGGCTCCCGCGGAGACTCGCCGCCCGCGGCCCCCGGCAGCGCCGCCCCCGGGCTGCGCCGCAGCACCGAGTCCGAGGTGTACGACGACGGCACCAACACCTTCTTCTGGTGAGAGACCGCCCCCCCCCCCCCCCCCGCGCGAGCCTGGCCCGCCCCCCCGGCCCGGGCACCGAGCCTGGCCCCTTCGCTCTCCCTAGCCAGCCCCCGGGGTCTCACCGACCTTGTGCTGCCTCCCCCCGGTCAGCCCCAGCGGCTGATAAAGGCCCTGCCCCGGGACTCACGGATCCCCTGTGCACTCTGACACCAGCGCCCAACTCTCCTTACTCAGTCCCTGCAGGACACCCAGGGAGCCTTTCACCCCAGTGCTGGCCAGTAGCTTTAGCCCAGGGGCCCGGTGCCACCTCCAGCTCTTCCCAGCGGGAGTGGCCAGGGCCCCTACCCCCCACCCTTTCTCTAGTTACTGACTAACCCCCTCTGTACATGCCCCCACTACCACCCCGTCTTCCTTCAAAATGTTCCGCACCTGGTTGGTTGGTGATTACACCAATATACCCACCTTTTCTGCCTCTATCATCTACTTCCAGAAGGCATGGGGGGTATATGGTTGGGGTATGTGGAGGAGGGGGGTATCTGACACTCTAGTGTTTTCTAGTGAGTGATGCTAATACCCTCTGCTTTCCTGCCAATACCTTCTCCATCTATTGCTCTTATCGTTTCCATTTTCTGGTGAATGATACACCTAGCTCCCAAGCCTATAGATCTAATCAGCTCTTCAGTAACACACCCTGATGAATGTCCGGCTATGTCTACACTACCACTTACGTTGGCAAAATTTGTTACCCAGGGATGTGAATATTCCACCCCCTGGGTGACATAAATTATGTCGGCATAAGCGGTTGTGTGCACAGCGCTATGTCAGTAGGAGAATGCCGCTTGTTGGAGGCGGATTAATTACATTGACGGAAGAGTCTGTCTAGTGTAGACATGGTCTCAGTCCTTTAACCTCCCAGTCACACCTATCTTTAAATATAACTTGTGTAGTTCCTGCACAGCTCTTTCCTGTTGTTGTCAAACAAATAGGCAATCAGATCTGTAATCCCTTACAGCAGTGGTTTTCAACCTTTTTTCATTTGTGGACTCCTAAAGAATTTCAGATGGTGGTGCGGACCCATTTTGAAATCTTAGACATAGTCTGTGGACCACAGGTTGAAAACCACTGTTCTATGGGAACAACAACCTTTTGCGTACCCTTTAGACATAGTCTGTGGACCTCCAGGGTCTGCAGACCACAGGTTGAAAACCACTGCATTACAGTAAAGGTCCAGAATTATGACACAATAGAGTGGGGTGTGGTCTCTGCAACCAGAATCTTTTTGCTGTATTTTGTCTTGCTAGTCTCCCAATTTGATATTTGGTAATACTAGGGAATGAGAGAATGGCACCAGAGGGGTATAACTAGGAGTAATTGCATAAAACTGAACAAAGGAAACTTTAGGCAGAGGATCAAGACACATTTTCTGGCATTGAGAAATATTTGGCTGTTAAAGTCTTCCATGAATTGGATGCGTAAGCCATGTTGCTTGGATCACTTAAGGATGAGTTACATGCAGACTTCATTTCAGTGTGAATTAACAGATTTAGTTACTGCAGTTCAAGTCTGTAGACACTCATTTTGGAATAAAAATGGCTAATGTTGATCTAGCTAACTAAGCTATAGCTGTTTTTATTTCAAAATTAGAATGGTGCAAGTCTCTGTGTGGATAATTCAAATAAATTGCTTTAATTGATTTATTTTAAGTGGTGCAGACGTGTGTTTAGACCAGTCCTTGGGATGGAGCAGTAGTGAATACATTCTGTCCAGTACTTTCAGGGGGAAGAGGAAAGACAAACAAGACAACTCTCTCTAGTTCTTTCACATTTCTAATTTACATAACTAAAGGAAACAGAAAGAAATTTTCTTCTGGTGAGTGATAATCCCTCTTCCCATAGATAAATACCCACAGTACTCTAATGTTGACTCTCGGGCTTTTGCAACATTCTGACCCTGCCAAAATCCAGTTACTAACAAAATTAAATCACTCAGCATTTTGCTGCACTAATCAAGCACTCCTTGTTCTCCTGTAGTAGAACTTACTATGTAACAGTATTTGTCTAATGCTTCCTCCAAATCATCTAGTGAGTTGCAGCCTCATTCTTCACCAAGACAGATGTTTTCCCACTCTTTCACCAAGTTACTCTGTAAATGAATTGCCTCACACACTGCTTTCTGGGAAAGTGGAATTTCATACTCCATCTCCATGTGTTATTTTCTCTTCACCATGTACACAGTTATCAGAAGAGCTGTGTGTGTTTGAGGGTAAAGGGATTCCCCCTCACATAGTTTGTCTTACATAATGTAATACCTCTTTATTGATCCAGAAAGGTAAAACCAATTTTACTTAGTCCACTTGACTGGTGGAACTTGCTTCATTTGGATTTACTGCATGTCAGTTCCACAAGATGTGGTAAACATGATTTTTTCATCTGAAATGTGTCAATAGTCCATCTTAGTGCTAATGATTAAATTGAGCTTCATTTCCATTTTTGTTGAATTTGTCACCTGAGACAGATTCATGCATACCTGGAAAACCTCAAAGGGAAATATTTCAACATCATCTTCCATTCTAGAGTTTCTTGAGAAATTTGGCTCTCTATGTGTATAAGTTCCCATAATGTTTCTCTGGGACTTTTTTGAGCTGCTTGCCATTGTTTTCTGGAAAAGGAAATCAAATTACTGGGTATCTTTAAAATTTTGTTTTAAAAAGAAATGCATTCATTGGCTTGATCTACAGACAGAACAGAGAACATGCTCAGCTGACACTAGAAAGGAGAGGCTCAGTAGGAGGGGAAAAACATGAACAGAGGAAGATCTGATTTGGCTTGAGCATTGCATTAGTGAGAAGCTCCTGGCTCTGGATCCGCTGGTTTTGGCAGTAATGAAAGAGGGGATGTGTTGAGCTTGATGGCTCCTGTGATACATTTCTGCTAGTTTAAATCTCAGCAAGAAATATCCAGATGCTGCTAGATCCCAGGATAGTCAGTAGAAAATTATTTGGAGCCTGCTGTACCAAAAGTATATCTGGCTAGGAAAGAACATTATCTTCAGGGTGCAGGAACTATCTGGGAGAGAACACTCTGGGAACTTGCCACGTCCAGGCTCTATTACCGGATCTCGCTGAGGTCTACGGATAGTGCCACCTTGTAAATGGAAAATGGGTAAAACTGTCACTTGTTTGTTGTGTTTTTAAATGTCTTTTTTTTTTTTTTTTTTGCCAAATTGTTTAAAAATTCTAATACTGTTCTGAATTTCCTGGTTATATTTTGTGGAAATAGCTGCGTGTTCTGCCATTTTCATGGGCCTTCCTCTACATGAAGGCTTTAAGTGAATTTGTCATTAAAAGTCTGTATTAGGTGTTGTGATTAGAGCTGGTATCTGAATATACTAGATTCATCAAAAATGCCATAATAAATAATGCTGTTATTTTCATACCTGCCACTCTAAGCAGAGTTAGGTTGACCAAATATGCCATTATCTCCATGGCTGTCTTAGGAGAGAGCTTCTTTAATGTACAGTATTTCCCATGCGTTGCTTGGTCGTCACTAGAAGAACAGTGAGGGCGAACACTACAACTGCAGTGTAACTTTTCAGTGTTGTAGAATTAGCATAATCAGCAATAATATCTTTGTTTTTTCTGTAGTGCCTATCATCATGATATTTAAGCGCTGACAGCCAAAATTTCCAAAGAAAGTGTCCATAGAGGTTTCAATGAATATTGAGGGATATGGCAATCTAGTTCTCACCCAGCAGGATGTTGGGTTTGCCTCACTGACTACTTAAATAAGATTATGGTCTTTTGTATTTGTGGCTGTGTGAATTACATAGGACCCAGAGCTACTACCCTTGAAATCCACCGATGTCTGAACTCAGTTATTGGTGTGGCCTATCCAGTGTGAGAAATGGAAAGTATTTAATAGATTTGTAGACACAATAAAAGGAACCCTTCCTAGAAGTAATACAACTTAATTTGCATAAGTAGCTTCACTGTCATAAATGTGGTTCTTTTGAAACTTTAACATTTAGCTTTAGCTATAACACCTTTTGCAGAGCTTTAAAACAGACCCAGAAATGAATGTAGTTAAACTTTGCAAATTGGCTTTTTTTGGCATGAGAAAATGAAACTGGTGCTGTGTGTCCTAACTGAGGGTTACTAAAACTGCAAAATGTTAAATCTGTATTATGAGGTCATGCATATTTTTGTCAGGAGCAGAAATATGTCAAATACAAGGGGAAGAGGGATAGGGGGAGAAGAAACCTTACAGTTGAGCTAGGTTAACACAGTATAGCCTTCTCTTCAGTTTTTGCACTTGCCCTGAAAATACATTAAATATTTACCCCTTGTGTTGATTGCAAAACATGTTGGTTTTAGAGCAGGGTTGGAAGTATACAGTTAGTCAGGAAAGCTTCCTGCTCACCCTGGGCAAGTGCGTCCATCGTCTTCCACAGATTTTAAACTTTCATTGGAAGTTTCTTGCTCTTATGGTTGTGAAGAAAGCCTTCTTTGTGGCAGGGACTGGCTTTTGTTACGTTTGTATAATGCCTAGCACAATGGGGCTGACTCTCATGGGGCTACCACTATACAAATAATAACTAATGCAGTGCTGTCTTTGTAAGTTTGCAGGCGTACAGCTCCAGTGCCACAGCTGCAGCTCAGTTTCTGCAAGTTGCAGAATAGTGGTCCATTTTCATTTTTCTCAGTCTTCGTGGGGTTGTTTCATTCTGCTGCAGCCTGGGCTAACTATGAGTGCATTTGCTTGGAAGTACATGAAAACAGGGTGAACAGCAGCTAAAAACCTCCTCCTTAGCAGCAGGGAAGCTGAGAGGAATAGTGTAGCAGAGACGCATCTCATTACAGTAGGCTGGGGATGTGTGCTGCGAATCCCCATTCTCATGGTAGTTGTGGGACTCTTGGGAACAAAGAATAAATGTCCCTTCCAGCAGTCAGAGAGGATTGGGTGCAGGGATTTCAAATGTCTCACATCGACCCACCGTAGCTGATAGTCATAAACTT